AACTGAACAAAGTAGTCTCGGTGCCCTGGAACAGTTGAACATGCATACCTTTGTTTCATACAAAACATATGACGAAAGGTTTCGCTGATCGTCAAACTGAGTTTCTCGGGAAACTACTACTTTCGAACAAGGCTTAGCAACGTTTCCTTGTATCAGTTGAACAACAATTTGTTTGGTGTTTAACGCTGGATTCAGCAATATTCCAGCTATATGGCGGCGGTCTGTCAATAATCGAGTCTGGACCAGACAACCCAGTGATCAACATCATGAGCATCAATCTATGTAATTGGGATACGATGACATGTGTCAACCAAGTCAATGAGCCTGACCACCCGATCCCGTTAGTCGCCTCTTACGACAAGCATAGGCTGCTGAAGACCAATTTTAACCCGAATCTTCACGGGTATTGATCCAAAGGATAAAATGGGTATCACAATCCAGTGTGCGAACTAGAAAAATAACAATTTTAAACTACCAATTCATTTTGTAGGTACTAATATTTTGTTTTAAGGACAGTAGGCTAGTTTTATAGAACTTTCCAAATGAAGTCAACTAAGGTGAACTTCTGAACGTCTACTTCTGATACTCCGGTAATGATGTCCTGGATTCATACACGATACACAAGCCCTCATATTCTGAATGTTACTTGCTTTCCTGGATTATTTTAATTTTACAATTTTTCGGTTAGGCAGAACCTGGAAACCAGTTTTAAAATAACATATTACTCATTTACACCATGACTGTTGTAATATACAGAGATCACTGATGCCCTTAGGTAAGCTGATCATAATATCTGTACTGTTAACTACATAAAATCCCCAAACATTTTGAGCAGTTCTTGCGAAACACAAGCATGGGGCCCTATTCCTGCAGTGGTCGTGACCCATGCCTCGCTTTAATGGTCATTACCCTGTCTAACTAGGCCCCAGTTGTGAAAGGGTATACCCTTGTTTATATGGAAATGATTATTCATTATACCGAGTCATGACTCCATGGATATATTTTGTCCCCCGAGTCATGGCTGATCAGCTCTGCGTGGGTATGACTGTCGGCAAGTCACGATCACAAGAATTCCCCTCACTTCAATATTGCGCAACACCCTCTACATGTGTAGTGTTTTGTATATGTGTGTCAAGGGCACATTTACACCCGGTTAGACATGGGAATTGCCAGTCTCTTTTTGTACAATGTCTATCCCAATCTTCCATCCCGTACACCCCCCATGCCACAGCAGGACACACAGGTGTGCTTGTCAGTCGAGGAGTTATTCCACCTCACTCGTCTGTGCTGTTACAGGTTTTATACACTTGTGCTCAGTCACACACCTGGGAAAGAAGGCCCAGAACACGTACGAAGTTGTTTTTAAGTAAATAACCTGACAATTTCTTTTTCAGTTCATAAGTTCAATTTACACTTGGATTAAAAGAGTGTAAGTACCAACTACGACACACACACACCACTACTTCTTCACCATAATATGGCAGCCCTGTGTAAATAGGGATATGTTAATTTTTATATCTCATATATCATATCAAGGGTGATGGGCACCGCCATGGTCATAACTTTCTACAACATGTTTTTATTACCTTACACAAATTACGGAATGGCAATAAATTTTATACTTGAGCTGCTTAATGTGGATATGAACTATGTAATGGTCAAGGTCACTGTGAACCGTAATCAAATCTGTTACTGAAATGCCATTTACTGCTGATAGCTTTAAGTGGTGTGAATTAATGGTCATATTATTTGCATTTATATATACAATCTCAACACCAGAAAATAATCTGTTTCCTTCAGATTCTATGGCACCTAAAATACAAAATAGTGATTAAAATAACAGGAATGGATCATTGGTAATCAGTTATGAGACCAAGTGTTTGCGAAAATGAAAAGCATCTTCTGCTCTACCGATATCACTCGCCACTAAAATGTTTATTGCTGAACGCCACACTTAGCAGTTCACCGCCATATGACAACTGATATCTACTGTAAATACAGAAACATAATAATACGCCAAATTATTGCAAGTATGAAATTACTGTGAGCAGCCCTGCCTATGAACTGAAATATACAACACATTAGCAAGTATGTCATCTGCTACCTTCACAAACTAACTTGCTTGAGATGTGATCTAACTTACAAACAGATCTTGAGCTTAATAACATTGTTTATTGTAAGTTTTGTTCCATGTGCCATTGTTTTCATCCTTGAGCAAAGAAGATGGCATGCAATACACCAATGTCCAGACCCAAGAGTGCCACTCATCAATGTGAGCAAGGAGCACCTACATGTTTCGCATTAATTTCATAGTATCTTATGTGTTGTATGAAAGGGAGGCAATCCTCCTGTTTCGTGAAATACCTGTAAATATTCACACTGACGGACATCCACTAAGAAATGCATGATGTTCACAGGAACTTAAGCAGTGTCCACTAGTATGATAAGATATGGTGCATACCATCTTTGGGGTGTTGCACTGAAATATTGCTTTGAAAAATCTCCATTGAAAGTCAAGGTAGCTGGTATGGTCATTTTTGGGGTAATTTTACCACTTTGTGCACAGAATATCAACAATGCTCATGACATCAGTAACTGGACTGTTGGATCATGACTATTTACATGTCACCATGACACACCAGAAATACTGATAACTGAAGGGAAAAACATCATTATGTATAGTATTCCCAGAAATTACATTTCTACTGGGGTTTGTTAGACTCAGCATAGCAATGTAACGAAAAATACAGAGCTTAAGTTTACCTAGACTGGAAATCGTGTGACAGCGTATCCCAATATTCAACCACTTCCTTCTTCATATCCTCAATATTTCTAAGTCATGTTTTGGTTTATTCTGTCCTTCATTAGTCCCCACACATTCTCAATAGGGTTAAGATCTGGGTTGTAGCTGGGCCAGTCTAAAACTTGAACATTTTCGTCTGACAACCACTGTTTTTTGTAGCCAGCAGTGTGTTTTTGGTCGTACAATGGTGAGAGAATTCCTCACTTTTTTACCTAGTTAAGTCTTTGTAATTCTTGTTTAAGGGTTTTATTACATACCTGAGGGCTTCCTCTATTAATCACCTCATTTCTGATATTCTCAACCCTTTTCAAGTTTCCCCTACTCACAATTTGACCAAGTCACCAGCGATCCATAGTAATGAATCTGACATGTCAACAAAGGAAGCCGTCTACTCTACCAGGTAGATAACTCTTGATGTAGTAAGGTTAATTCTTAAGAACACAAGAGTTGCCTACCTTGAGTACCTTACTACATAATGTAACACTTATTTTAAAATTCTATTATCAGTATTAGGAAACAAAGATTTTCTCAATAATTTCTGAGAAACTGTATTCCTGTCACTGTAAGCTTTTCAGTGATCAAGTATGACATATACAGATCTATACCCCCCAAAATGAAACACACTATCACAAATATTCTGGTTTATTGTTGGATTACAATACATAAACAAACTGATTACCATTATTACTATATCCCCCTCAAAAGAATTTAAACATGGTTCTTTGATATTACTAAAGTTAATCTGTCATGGCAAGCAATGTATCATGTAAAACCATGTGTCATGAAGTTCGTCTGATATGGACTTTGCCTTCAATTGATTATGACACCTTCATGACACTCAAAGACACTGAAATTCTGGACCAAACAAACTGAAAAACCTTTGTATCAGCGCCCAAAGTACAGTCCGAAATTTGACGAGTGGGGTGGCATATCTGTTAGGGGAAACGCCCCTCTGTGTATTTGAAAGGAATATGAACAGTGAGCGGTACACAGATATTCTTGAGGGACATTTACTTCCATCTGCTCACGTGTTCTATGGAAATTTTTGGATTTTCCAGCAGGACAAACGACCAAAAACATCGTTCAAAGCATTCACAGGCCTGGTTTCGGACCCAAAATATGACATTATTAGATTGGCCAAGCTATAGCCCTGACCTAAATCCAGTAGAAAATGTTTGGTGACTTATGAAGGAAAGTGTCAACACGAAAAATCTGACAAATATTGCTGAAATGAAAGAAGAGGTGATCCGATATTGGGACAGCATGGGCCACGACTTTCTAACTTCTTTGATCAGTAGTATGCCCCGCCACATTGAAGCCTGCATTGCTGCCCATGGTGACTTGACAAAGTACTAACTGTTCACCTGTCTTTGAATCTGGAGTTATGTTCTGCTAGTATTCAAATTAATACGTGAGTAATGAGTGAATTTAAAAAAAAAAAAATTACAATCTTTAAATTCTCAATAATTTCTGATTGTACGGTATCCTGGTATGACCTGAATCATCATTCATCACACTTGAGATGTATAAACAACATATGTCCTGGTATGACCTGAATCATCATTCGCACATGAGATGTATAAACAACATATGTCCTGGTATGACCTGAATCATCATTCATCACACTTGAGATGTATAAACAACATATGTCCTGGTATGACCTGAATCATCATTCATCACACATGAGATGTATAAACAACATATGTCCTGGTATGACCTGAATCATCATTCATCACACATGAGGTGTATAAACAACATATATCCTGGTATGACCTGAATCATCATTCATCACACATGAGATGTATAAACAACATATATCCTGGTATGACCTGAATTATCATTCATCACACATGAAGTGTATAAACAACATATATCCTGGTATGACCTGAATCATCATTCATCACACATGAGATGTATAAACAACATATATCCTGGTATGACCTGAATCATCATTCATCACACATGAGGTGTATAAACAACATATGTCCTGGTAGGACCTGAATCATCATTCATCACACATGAGGTGTATAAACAACATATGTCCTGGTATGACCTGAATCATCATTCATCACACATGAGGTGTATAAAAAACATATGTCCTGGTATGACCTGAATCATCATTCATCACACATGAGATGTATAAACAACATATATCCTGCTATGACTTACACCATCATTCATCACACATGAGATGTATAAACAACATATATCCTGGTATGACCTGAATCATCATTCATCACACATGAGGTGTATAAACAACATATATCCTGGTATGACCTGAATCATCATTCAGCACACATGAGATGTATAAACAACATATATCCTGCTATGACTTACACCATCATTCATCACACATGAGATGTATAAACAACATATATCCTGGTATGACCTGAATCATCATTCATCACACATGAGATGTATAAACAACATATATCCTGCTATGACTTACACCATCATTCATCACACATGAGATGTATAAACAACATATATCCTGGTATGACCTGAATCATCATTCATCACACATGAGATGTATAAACAACATATGTCCTGGTATGACCTGAATCATCATTCATCACACATGAGGTGTATAAACAACATATGTCCTGGTATGACCTGAATCATCATTCATCACACACAAGATGTATAAACAACATATATCCTGGTATGACCTGAATCATCATTCATCACACATGAGATGTATAAACAACATATATCCTGCTATGACTTACACCATCATTCATCACACATGAGATGTATAAACAACATATATCCTGGTATGACCTGAATCATCATTCAGCACACATGAGGTGTATAAACAACATATGTCCTGGTATGACTTACACCATCATTTATCACACACGAGAGGTATAAACAACATATGTCCTGGTATGACCTGAATCATCATTCATCACACACGAGATGTATCAACAACATATGTCCTGGTATGACCTGAATCATCATTCATTACACATGAGGTGTATAAACAACATATGTCCTGGTATGACCTGAATCATCATTCATCACACATGAGGTGTATAAACAACTTATGTCCTGGTATGACCTGAATCACCATCATCACACATGAGGTGTATAAAAAACATATATCCTGGTATGACCTGAATCATCATTCATCACACATGAGGTGTATAAACAACATATGTCCTGGTAGGACCTGAATCATCATTCATCACACATGAGGTGTATAAACAACATATGTCCTGGTAGGACCTGAATCATCATTCATCACACATGAGGTGTATAAACAACATATATCCTGGTATGACCTGAATCATCATTCATCACACACAAGATGTATAAACAACATATATCCTGGTATGACCTGAATCATCATTTATCACGCCCCAGTGTATTATATATACGTATTATATATACATATGCTTAACTTTCTTTCACATTTTAAAATGATTTGTACATAATCATGTATTTTGTATTCATGTCATAATTCATTGTACTCTCCGAAATTATTGGAGGAAATAAAGACAATTCATTCATTCATTCATTCATTCATTCATTCATTCTTTATGAGATATAAAATTTAGGAAGAATGAAGAAAGGCCTCAAAGAGAACATTCAACAGTGTAAGTAAATCATACAATAAAATTCAACACAGGTAAAGGAACTAACAGCAACAGTGCAAGGCCTAGGCAAAGCTGAATGAACCATCTATTGACAAGTGAGTGAGTTGGGATTTCCGCTGCTTTCAGCAATATTCCAGCAATATCACAGCAGGGGACACCAGAAATGGGCTTCACACACTGTACCCATGTCGGGAATCGAACCCGGGCCTTCGGCGTAACGAGTGATCGCTTTAACCACAAGGCTACCCCACCGCCCCGTTGACCAAGTGAGAAACATCACCTTGTTTTTTTTCTCAACCATGATGTAAAGGTTGTGGAAGGAGCTTACAAGTCAGTACAGCCTCCTCAGTTCCCGCTAGTCTGCCAGCCCATGGCTTCTAAGTATGCTTAAGACATGTAAGAACCCAATGACTGTAGTCCTCACTGACTGGTAGAACTTGAGGCGAAAATGTTCAGACATTTACTAAAGCCCCAATGTTGCTACAAATTGAAATTGAATAAAACTGACAGAATATTTAAACAACACATTGTTTTGTTCAAGCAGGACTTGCTACAAACTCTGAGGAATAATGACATTAGTCTCACAGATATACCCTTCTGAGGCTGCAGTATCTGAAGGAGCTTTCAATAGTTCTTCGTCAAGTCAAATGAACATACCCAACGATCTGTTCCATTCCACTTTGCTGATATCTACTGTGTACTTTGTACATACTGCAGAGTACTATCACAGGCTGTCTGTGATCCAGCAGTTCAAGTATTAAATAACAGCTCAATCATAATATCTGACGAGGAGGAAGTCTTTCAGTGATTGAGGTAGCTGAAGTTCATTTATGGCTGTGAGCCCCTTAAGTGTGAGACAATGCCGTAAACTTCCTCTGCATAGTCGCTTCAGACTTTTGGGGTTGTACATCTCCTTGTAGAGCCAGTCTCGGAACACAGGGACGCGGTCACACAACACCTGGACGGCATCGCTGCTGAGTAGACTGTAGCTTCTGTCACAGTCAGCCAACAGCAGCAGCTGAAGCACTCGGAGCTTGCCTTGCATCACAGCATTCTCTAGTGGTGTTCTACCTGCAACATCCACAGGAGATTCATATGTATGATCTCCATAGGAACCTGTTAAAGTCCATGTTGTTAATACTCCGTACTCTGATGCAACGGACCAACAAACCAACCAACTCATGCAACATCGTTTGAGTGAAGATGTTAGGACACCTCAATACAAGGTCACATAAACCGAAGAACACTGGAAGGTTTACTCTTTTCAATTAGATGTTTATAAAACTTACCAAATCTATCCTTCAGATCTGGGTGAGCACCGTTTTGAAGGAGGAACTTTGCAATATTTACACTCTGCCCATCATTGGTAGCCAGATGAAATGCTGTAATTTTAGAATCGTCAGCCTGGAACAGGTAGAAACGGGATGGTTGAGGTGAATGTACATCGCTCTTAGCCACACCACAGCAAAGAAAAAAATGTCATCTAGGAGCTTTATGTCACTGTTGAAGACAACCTTGTTTGAGGATCATATATTTGTTTCTCCAAGACCTTAGTAAAACCATAAAGTGGTTTGCAAGTACTACAAAATCAGAAGCAGACCCTTAAATACTTCATAGCATTTCATAAGTAGATATTTTTTTAATGGAAAAAATGATCCTGTAATCTGTTGAAATGAGCAAGGATTGACCGACCGAAGTGATAAAATTATGCACTCAAGCATTGTGAGTTTTCATGCAATGTTATGACACAATAATTTTCCTGTATCAACACAAAACATACAATTGCTAAAATACCTACAAGTTGTTTTATGACGCTCCCAATACCATACTTTTTTGTCAAATATTTCAAGTTTTCTACTAAAAATAGCCACTACAATCATGTGCCTACAGTTAGCTTTGAAACCTGCTCTGAAATATTTATGATCAAGAAGTTTTTTCACAAATGTATGTGAGTCTAAGAGGAGTGATGATGAAGTGTGTGTGTGTGTGTGTGTGTGTGTGTGTGTAACAGGGTGGTTTTTTTTCACCCATTTTGTTCAGGGAGCTAGGGGTCATCAAATTTGTACACATGTACTACGGGGTCAGCAATTTTGCACATATAAATATGTTTAAAATTATGCTTAGAAATTATGGGAGGGGGTGGTGGGGGTATCACTTATTTTGTACATAATAATTTGTACATTTTTTTATTTATTTAATTATTATTATTTATTTTATTTTTATTTATTTTTATTTTATTTTTTGGGGGGGGATTCACATTGTACATGCTTCTCCATAAAATCAGCTTCACTCCCCCTAGCCATAAATAATGAATGGTCCCTAAGTACTCCATCTTGACCTTAGTATCATGATACCTATCATGAACTTGCTCTCCAGCTTCACCCTCGCAACATATGTTGCTACTCACTGCATTAACATCAGCCCCGGCCTTTATCAACGCTTTGATCTTGTCCAGCTTCTTCAAGCTGACGGCAAACATGAGGGGAGTTGCTCCTTTCTGGGTTCTCTTGTTCACGTTACAGCCCGCTGGAGAAATAGTACAATATGGTGTCATGTGTGTTGTGTTAAGTAATATATGTGACATTGTATAAAAGTTAATGGCAGCAAAGGAATGAAGTGATAGTGAAAACATCAGCTGCAAGGAGTGATCAGAGTTATCTACCCCTGGTTGTAAACCTTCATGGCAGGAAGTTTCTAGAAAAGGTCTGTACCTATATAAGGGAGGTAAGAGAGCTATCTGAGGCCTTTTCCAACCTGACTTGTCTCTCATCTACTTGTCAAGTGGGGACTGGATTAATAACAATAATAACATTAAATATGTATAGCGTTCGTATCCAGTGATCTTCTAGGAGTTCTACATTGACTGGAGTCTATTCAAACACATCTTTCATGTACATGTATGTTCAGCTATTATTACCAAATAGCTACAAACTTCAAACACCATTCTGAATTCAAGCGTGAAGACATTCCAAAGTGCAGAGGCAATAATTCTAGAGGTTGTTACTTATCACTGCTGGCAATTACATGACCTTGACCTAACAATTTGTATGGCAATATAATTTATTGACAATTCTTGGGTGGTCATTTACATTTTAGGCTTATTATTAGCTTCTGATCAGGTCCAGATAAACTCCTGTACTCTGTTCATCCAACAAGGATGTCTACCAACGTCAGATCTTACTGCTAGCTTGTAAGCCCCAGGATAGTGGCAGTGTCACTTGGCTATCCGGATGTTGAAGGCCTTCTGTCTAATGGACCTTCACATTATACTAATTTCAACCAAAACATTTGTGTCAGAGAGACATTTTGCTGAAACACATCCCTTATCATTTTTTCACATCACATTTCCAGGGTTTTACACAATACAGAACAGAAGATCCAGTCCCCCAAAATGTACAGAATGGATGTAACACCTCAGCTGAAAATATTTCAGTTCCAGAATTCCTCAAAGTGGAATTAAAATAGACTGTGTGTTCAACAAACTTAAAGTCGATGACTGTCAATTTTTCAAGAATGTTTGGCTCCTAAACATAACATATAAAATGAAATATCCACGTACCTTCCACAAGTCGGTTGACGACCTTGACACTGACCCTGGGCTGCATCATGGCATGTCCCAGTGCTGTTGTGCCCTTGATGTCTTCCAGCTCCAGATCTGCTCCCGCCCCAATCAGGGCATCCACCAGGTTCAGACGATTCAGGCACACTGCTTCGATGAGAGCACTACGCTTGCTGCTGGTCTGACTATTCAAATCCACGCCTGGTGAAGTCAAATAAAATGGAGTCTAATATCACGCTCAAGATTACGAGGTCTCCAGCCACTTATATCCTCTCTCTACTACTGGATAGGGTGAGTGAGTATGGTTTTACACTGATTTTAGCACTATTCTAGCAATATCATGGCGAGGGACACCAGAAATGGGCTTCACATATAGTACCCATGTGGGGAATCGAACCCGGGTCTTCGGCGTGACAAGTGAACGCTTTGACCACTAGGTTACCCCACCTTCCCTACTGGATAGGGGTGAAATGATACACCTGTGCACTGTGACTTTCAACGCAACATACAACACACAAAATGCTTTTTCTTTATCAACAGAAGGCGATATACTTGCTAAAATACTAACTGCTCGTTTAATAACACTCCCCATCACCTTTTAATTTCAAGTTGACCAACTAAATAGCTGCAAGAAACAAGCATCTACAGCTGACGTTCCCTTTGGAACCTACTCTGAAATGTTTGTAGTCAAAAGGTTCCCAAGCGATATGGCACCTCTATGACAGCAATATCGATAACAACTTCCTTTATTTCGTGAGAGTGACGTTGTGATACAGATTCTTGCACTATTGTGAAGCAGGAATGTGAAAACAGTACAGGAATCTGCATCGAATCATCTCACTCACGAAATATAAGAAGTTTTTATCCATAAAGTTTGTTCAATATTGTACTTCCAAACTTCGAAAATGCCACCCAATGAAGTTCTATGACCGCAGCCTGTAAACACTATAAATAAGTCTGGTGCACACTCAATTTGATATTGAAAGCAATGATCCATACCATCAGGGAACATGATCCATACCATCGGGGTACATACCATCGGGGTACATACCTTCAGGGTACATATATACCATCGGGATACATACCATTGGGGTACATACCATCGGGGTACATACCATCAGCGTACATACAATTAGGGTACATAACGGGGTACAAACCATTGGGGTACAAACCATTGAGGTACATACCATCAGGGTACATACCATCAGGGTACATACCATCAGGATACATACCATCAGGGTACATACCATCGGGGTACATACCATCAGGGTACATACCATCGGGATACATACCATCAGGGTACATACCATCAGGGTACATACCTTTGAGGTACATACCATTGAGGTACATACCATCGGCGTACATACCATCAGCGTACATACCATCAGGGTACATACCATTGGGCTACATACCATCGGTGTACATATCATCAGGGTACATACCATCGGGTACATACCATCGGGCTACATACCATCAGCGTACATACCATCAGGGTACATACCATTGGGATACATACCATCAGGGTACATACCATCGGCGTACATACCATCAGGGTACATACCATCGGGATACATACCATCAGGGTACATACCATCGGGGTACATACCTTTGGGGTACATACCATTGAGGTACATACCATCGGCGTACATACAGAGGGGTACATACCATCAGCGTACATACCATCAGGGTACATACCATCGGGGTACATACCATTGAGGTACATACCATCGGCGTACATACAGAGGGGTACATACCATCAGGGTACATACCATCGGGGTACATACAATCAGGGGTACATACCTTCAGAGTACATACCATCAGGGTACATACCATAGGGGTACATACCATCGGGGTACATACCATTGGGGTACATACCATCGGGGTACATACCATTGGGGTACATACAATCAGGGGTACATACCATCAGGGTACATACCTTCAGGGTACATACCATAGGGGTACATACCATCGGCGTACATATCATCAGGGTACATACCATCGGGGTACATTGCACTGGGGTACATACCATCGGGTACATCCTATCACTTTACATACCTACAGGGTACAATGACCCTCAATCAATTAAGCCACCAAGTCTGACCACCTTATCCATCTACATGCATCTTACATGGAGGTTACATAAGTATAGGTTGGGACCAAATTCTTACCTAGAATCCCCACTATGTACACCAAAATAGTCTTCATCCTACACCAAATTACCAACCTTTTCCTATGAGGTACTTGACGACATCCTGTCTGGCGGCAGCAGTAGCGAGGAAGATGGGGGTCCGGTTGTTTCCGTCCTTAATGTTCATGTCAGCACCATGGTAGCACAGAACTGTTATCGTCTGACATGTCAAAACACTAGTATTAGACATCCATGACTGTTTTAATGTTACCTTCAAGAGTAGAAACGTCTGTAGCCTGTGTTTACATGTATTTTGTTCAAGCTATTTTAGTTAATAACAATTCAGATTAAAATCTCTTGATAATAAACAGTCCCAGACTCATAATGTTTTAGCACAAGCTGTCATAGGAAAGTTTTATCATCGTTTCCTATAATTTAGGGCATATCATTTCTACACACTCCCCATTCCCCATAGAAATAGAAGTGGCACCAATGTGTCCTACAGTGAAATATTGTTTACTTCATGTCATGAAACCACCATTGTAAAGTTATGTTAGCACTTCTATGAACAAGAACCATAGAGTTACATGGCAGAAAACATTACAAAGTTAATACAGTTACCAGTAAATGAGTAAATAAGACTTCCCTCTCTACACACCACCAATGCATAAAGAATAAGTACATTCTACATTCCTTCATCACTCATGAATATGGTGTAGAGGTGACATGTCATTTTTTCTTAACGAATGAAATGAGGTCTGGTATAACTCATAGAAGTAAAATGAGCTGTACCCTGTGTCTGAGTTCACAGGGCTATTGTACATGCTGCACTGGATTTAAGGCAGGAAATGATGTCATGCAATGTATACCGAGTGATAACTGGTCTAATATAACCAACCTGTATTTGGATTCATAGGTTAAAAATAGGGCCTACACTGTATATTATCCCAATGTATTCACGGGCACTGGATGAATGTAGTACATCCAAAGCTGGAGTGAGTGAATGAGTATTGTTTTATGCCGCTTTTAGCAATATTCCAGCAATATCAAGGCGGGGGACACCAGAAATGGGTTTCACACATTGTGCCCATGTGGGGAATCGAACCCGGTTCTTCAGCATGAAGAGCGAATGCTTTAACCACTAGTCTACCACACATACCTGTAGGTATTGATAATACTGTACACTGCAAAGCATTTTATATTGGAGTCCTCACCTCCATGTTTGAGTGCAGCACAGCCACGTGGAGTGGACAGTACCTCTTCATCTGGATGTTGCGGAACAGGGAGGGACACTTCACCATGCACGCCTCACCTGCAGTACAGTACATGCTGTAGTATATGTCATCGTCATGGCTACCACCAAACATTCAGCACTTCACTAGCAGCCACTGAAGGGAACATGAAACAGGACTGAAATGTTTGGTAAAACAAATTCTGGAGCCAACACAAGCCTCTGAGTTTTGAATTATTTAGCAGTGAATTGCAGTAATCTAGTTGGTATATTATGATATTTAAGTTACAAGAGACATTTGGTTGTTTGACTGTGCTGTTCAGAGCTGATTTTGCTGATATTGGGGATGTGAAAGAAATATGATTTGCAGGCATGCTCCCCACATGACACGTTGCTTTGAACAAACGCTAATGTCTATTGCTGAGAGAGATATTTAGATGTAAAACAGTTCGAACATAATTTCCAGAGAGATTCAACATATTCCTCAAGTGATATGTTGGATAGAAAGATAATGCCAAGGTCTCTTGATTTTTCAATAGAAAGTCCCAAGGTAATCTTTCAGTGTTTGCCATGACGCAGAAAACCTGCGTATTTGACGTACAAATTATCTCAAATACTAGGGGTAGGTATTGCAGAGAATATTCATATTGCGATATATTGCGATGCAAAAGCATGTATTGCGATATGCATTGCAATATATTGCATGAAGTATTTTTAAACAAAACACTACTTATAATCGAGTTACTGCTTGATTTATAGAGCAAAAACACAACAAAATCACTATGCTTGATTAAGCTTTAATAACAAATTTTAATCATGATAAATAAAAATGTGAATAATATTTGGCACAAATGAAACAAGGAAATATCCGAAGATTTCCGAGTGTTACGACGTTTTCCGAATGCATGTCAACCGGTTTTCGATCAGCGTATCACAATACGTATCCTTTTCATGTCTGAACCGGTAAATACCGGTAAACCGGTTATATTGCGCAGCCCTATCAAATACACAGTGATTTTAGAAGCTCGCGTCATTGTTGATGCATTGCTACTGGGCCCTTAGTTCTGATAATCTAAACTTCGGTTTCTGTGCAAGGAGTTTAATGTTTGCCAGTTAACTGCTCAGTGCTGTTAAATACCTGACCTGCCTTACCTTGTTTTTTGGGCACTAGGCCAGACCAAGTTTATTTCTTGTTTTACGGATCTGCCTGTCGTATTTTTTCAAGAATAAGATAAAAAATAAAAAATAATTTTCACCGTTAAAAAAATTAAATCCTAATGTTTTTAGGGCCAAAAATGTAAACTTACAAGAAAATTGCTTTTAGATTGTTTTTTGCCCCATATACACTTCATAAACTGCCAAAAGTAAAATACTTTTGACTATTACTTTGACTGGTGATTTTATTTTTTATTTTTTTTCCCTCCTGCCTTTAGGTTTTCTGAGGACAAAAATCTGCAAAACAAGAAAAAAATCTGCAAAACAAGAAATAAAATTGGTCTGGACTTATTAAATAATCACAGCTGATTTCTTCATGAAAGTGACAAACCTGAAGTTGACTCCCAAAAACATGTCCATGACTCCCTCTCATGACACCAGGGAGTCATGATGACTCCTAAACATTTGTGCCACTGGGCAAACACTGATCTTTAGCACATGAAGTACTGGTTTTAATGCATGACCTGGCTGATCGTGTATTATGACCTCAACCTCGCTGCTCATGCTGTCAACAAATGTCTACTTGCATCCACAGGCAACTGAAGATTATATTTTCTTTTGTCTGATGATAATAACAAATTATTCATTTTCCAAAACCCTGTTAACAAAAAAAACCACTTATTCAATCTGCTCTATTCATGATGGCAATAAATCGATCAGTGAATGATTTAGATTACTACACAGGGTAAATATTAAAAGATCTACACCTCAGCTGGGCACCAAACCATGAAAAAAGCATGTTTAGTCTCCCCATAACTATTATACCAACAGTGTTACCACTAGGGGTGTCACGATACACCAATCTCACGATACGATACGTATCACGATTTTAAGGTCACGATACGATACGTATCGCGATACATAATTTTCGCGCCTTTTCATAGCATTACCTTACCGGCAACGTACGCGCTTGCTGATTGGTCCATCAAAATAGTCTAGCCAATCACAAAAGCTGTTAGTTTCCAACCTGTTTATTAAGTAAAGCTAGCTACATCTATTTATCGGAGCGATCTCGTATAATTTTACTATCAAGACTTTGAAGGAGATGGATATAGCATAAAAATTTGAATCGATAAAGTTGTAAAATAAGAATTGATACGCGCAAGCATGTATCGCGTATCGTATCGTCAGTAGAAATATATCGATGCATCGATACATTCGCATATCGCGACACCCCTAGTTACCACATTGTTTTAATCATATTTGACAGACTTCCCCCAAACACAAGCAGTATCTACCATTAGATTCTCAATAAGTAGACCTCAATAACACAACATGATAAGTGATCTCTGTCTGAAGTGGGAAAAAGAAACATATGACATCCTGTTACAGCCGACCTGTGTGTACCATGTTGACATCGGTTCCATGTCTCAGCATCAAGCTAATCTTGTTCACATCGTTAAGTCGGACAGCTTTGAATATAGTGTCTTCTTCCTCAGTGGGGAGTTTGACAAACTCATCACTGATTCCTTTTGAAGCCACAGAGTTAGCCTCGTCTTCATCTTGAAGCAGAAAGGGTGGAGGGAGTCGGTTCTGTAACTGTTTTAAAATGGGCATTAAAGATGCATTCAAGAACACACTGAAATTCTATATTATCTACATTCTATATGTATCTATATATACATTCTATTGATTGCATAATTCTTTGGGCTTAAATATATTTGAAGAAACAAAACTATTCAATTTAGACTTAATCAAACCAACTGATGACATAACAAATTTTGTTTCATTTGTTGAATTAATACTTACAAAGTTTCCAAGATCAACCATTCTTGCAGGCTATTCCAGGAAGGTAGCTGCAACAGAAAGTGTAGACTTGCACAAGTCTCTAAGGCAATAATTAACAGTTTAAATGATAATTTCTAAAAAATATACATACAAAGAACACAGTGCTCTCAGCTTATCTAGACTTGCCTTTTTAAAGGTTGGAATTACTAAGATATCCATAAATGGGCTTAGCATTCAGTACAACTTTGGAGCAAGGTTACAGAAAGTGTAACAGCTGTTCATGAGGACAATACACAGTGACAAGAGTCCACTGTCCGGTGCTGGTCTACAAACAATAGCTATTGTGGTTAAGGTGTGTGGATGTTGAACAAGTACTTTCATATTCCTTTTCGATTTGATAACATTGGATAATGCTGAGAATACAATCACATCTTGTGTAACTGTACAGTTTGGGTTATTCTGTGTACAGAAATTTTAATGTTGTAACACTGTTTTAATGCAATGTACATTGTCCTTACATGGTGACCATAGCCACATCCTCAGTTTGTGCTCTTCCCTTCTTTATGCATATCCAGGGATGGAAAAAACCCATTGCCCGACGTCCGAGTCCAGTGTTTGTATATCACACTGTACCGGTGTCCAGTTGACTTTCCAATGTTACTTATGTTGTTTATTTAAAAAATCAACAAGAAAACGTCCGGTACAGAGGAAAAATTATCAGGGCAAGTGATTTTACATGTGCCACTGTACCAGAGTCAGAGACCATATGACCAGAGTACACTAGCAATCTTAAAGTTATTTCCACCCCTGATATCTCGGTGCAAATAGCTGCAAAATTGCTGATGCGGCATCAAGCAATATTTACTGACTCATTCTTCATCCTCCTCAACAACCTATACATAGTTATTTACACTTTGTACATTTCCTGGGATAGATGTTTCTTCCCAAATCTTGATATGTTACATCAACTACTATGCAGAAATAACATGTGTATTAGTTTCATATGGTCAGTGGTGTCCTCGGTATACTAATTACATTAATGAATATTACCCATCGAAAATAATTAATAATCTTAGTACGGACAGTTAGTCAGTAGTATGTTTATTAAGTCACTTATCTTACACAAAATCATATCAATATCTTATTTTATTTATAACAGTGCAACAAAAATATTCATTCCTTAAAAATATGTACCCAACACAACAAATTGAAACAATGCTATCTTCCATGAGTAGAACTTTTTTTTAAAAATACATGAAGGAACCTGTTGTAGTCAATATCTGTGCAGGTGTTTAGAAAGTATGATAAATCGTTATTTGGGAAACACCTTCACTTCAGGGTTGGATATCTATATTTAGCTAATCTGCGTCATTCAAGGCGTGGACACATCCATATAAGGAAATTGAACAACACATGAATGGGCGCTGTCAAACAGGCAACGATTACGTAAACAGGTTGTGTCTCACGTTGGCAAATGAATCGTAAACAAATTAAAGCAATACCATCTACTGACAATTGTCAGTCACGTAATGTTCCGCAATCTCCAGAAATTTGGACTTGAAAAGGCGGAACTGGGGCTTCCATAGTTTCGAGTTTTTTTAATCAATTCATAAAATGCTGCCCACATCGGATGTATACTTGCTAATGGTTGTTTGATGGGCACGTTAGATGACATACTTACGTGACCATTTGTAGGTGGCCCCTGTGTAGGTGACAAACAGGTACAGAGTTGTCAGAGTGACAATGATTCGCAAACTTCGAAGGTGTTCTCGTCTGCCGCTTCTGACATCAGTATTCTGAAACCGGATTGGTTCTGTGTACACAACCTAAACCCAAAGCAGATTAATGAAAACAGTACGGATCTAAAACCGGAAATAGTTTGATGGGATTTTATGTGTTTCAATTTGCGGAAATAGTTTACCCTTCATGAAATTTCCTTCCGATTATGCACTCTAAGCAGGGCCCCAGATAATTTTTCAACATCAGGAAGTACGTACGTACTCCTTATTTTTTCAATATAGGAGTACTGGAAAAACTTAAAGAGTACATTTTAATACTGAATGGAATTTAATGGCATATAAGTAATCATGTGTTTCGTTTCATATGTGCACCACAACATTGCTACTCTAAACAGCTATTGCTAAACAGGTCAATAAACAATAAAACAACACTCTTTCAGATAAATACGTCTGTGAATGATTCCAAGACCGTACAGCATTGCTGTGGTGCGTATGTGCTACGTTTTCTAAATTATTTCCTACCGTATCGTGCGTACTTTTTACCCGTACATACGCCGATACGGCCCTTATCTGGAGCCCTGCTGTATGACTATATTGTCTCGATATTTCAAGCAAATAATCATTTGGCCCAACATTTGTGTCTGTAGCTAGATGTTTGGTTGTGTACTAGTAAATGGTAAGTTGGCAATCCGGCAACCAGTGTTTAATGATTTGTAAGTGATTGTCATTCATAGGAGGGAATCACGTCACCTTTACACGACCTTGTGAATAATATAATGTTGGCCTGCTTGTTACCAAACAATTTTGCCTATGAAGCCTTCAAAACTATGGCTTATATTTATGTATTTTACTGACGCTTCTTTCAGTAAGCCATAACATATAATGTTACTGGTCCCGTAAACTGGCTCGTTCGTTGGATCACATCACTGCTGAACGCGTGACCAGGTGAGTCCATTCCTGGCGGTTGTCTGCTTGCGACCACTTATTCTGTTCACAGTCCATACAGTGTTACTGTTTGCCCCTTTTCTGCCCCTGTCTTAGGAAGCCTCTCAGATCTTTTTATGTGAACATACCTTCTTATTTTCCGGGTTTTTTTCACACTGATCCGGTGTTCATACTGTGTGTGCAGTCTGACACAATTCCTGACTTCTTCATTGCTTGAAAAAAGTCTTATGAAGCATTTCAGTTACCCTGCTTGAATCCTTGCCACAGATAATTAACTTATACTAATCTAACAGAAATAACGACATTTTGATGATTAATCCAGTTATCTAGTCTATAGGTACAACAGCTGACAGTCTGACCACTGATTCAGTTATCTAGTCTATAGATACAACAGCTGGCAGTCTGACAGTCTGACAATGATTCAGCCATCAGGTCTATTGATGCAATCAGCTGGCAGTCTGACCACTGATTCAGTTATCTAGTCTATAGATACAACAGCTGGCAGTCTGACCACTGATTCAGTTATCTAGTCTATAGATACAACAGCTGGCAGTCTGACCACTGATTCAGTTATCTGGTCTATAGATACAACAGCTGGCAGTCTGACCACTGATTCAGTTATCTAGTCTATAGATACAACAGCTGGCAGTATGACCACTGATTCAGTTATCTAGTCTATAGATACAACAGCTGGCAGTCTGACCACTGATTCAGTTATCTAGTCTATAGATACAACAGCTGGCAGTCTGAACAATGATTCAGCCATCCGGTCTATTGATGCAACAGCTGACTGTCTGACCACTGATTCAGTGTATAGATACAACAGCTGACTGACCACTGATTCAGTGTATAGATACAACAGCTGACTGACCACTGATTCAGTCTATAGATACAACAGCTGATGGTCTGAACAAGTAACCATAAGGTATTATCATTCTCATTGTGTTGTTACTCAAGCTGTATATAAAAAAAATTCACAAAGAAAGTGAGGTCTATCTTTCATTTGTTATCTTAAATGAGACACATGTTTAAATAAAAATGACACAGGTTTACTGAAAAATGACATTTATTTTATATTATCACACATTCTGAAACTGTATTTTCCATATTCATTCTCATATATACAAGACATGATATAAGTACATGAGTTCACTGTACACACTTTCTACAGTTTGTACAGATTGTGATGAATGCATGGAGCATGTGACGTAGGCTGAACCTGTCACTACTACATGTACTGCAAGCCCTCCTTGATAAAATCCAATACATTGTGATCACAACAACATGAATAGGTGGTCAGAAGTTATGTTTCAGAAGAATATGTCTACTATCAGACAGAAAAGTAAGCCTTTCTGGTTAGAGATTATAATCATATTCCCAAACATACCTACATCAATGGGCAATGACTTTAACATTACACATAAAATATTGTGTCTGTTGTAAAAGAAATTTGAACCACTCACCATTATGAAATCATGCTTGATGAGAACATTTGCTACATGTTTTCAGGTATAAAATGATAAAAGTGAAATTTTGTTCATGCTTCAAGTACCATGATAACATATAAAATAAAACAATGATGAAACCTTATTGTATTGGGTAAAATGAAACAATTTTGAAATTTTTTATCATATGAAACATTACAAGTGAAGGGCTCTTCCTCAAATACAGCAGATGTCTGTACAAAGTGTCTGTACAAAGTGTGGTGATAAGGAGTGGATGCTCCACACCTACCAGGGCTGGTCACCTCAGAAATGACCAGTCAAACTCAGTGCTAAATGCCCTATGTCCCGCTTCTGTCACTGTAATGGCTATTATGTGCCCTACGAAGCTAAAGAAGTAAACAGTAAGCAAACCTAAATGCAAGTTTGAATCACCCTTAAGAAGTTACATTTACATGTGCTGACTGACACTGTGAAAAAACACTGAGAAAAATATTACAACTTACAGATTTATCACCGGCATAGAAAATATTTGAATACTTCATAGTGAAAACAGACTGTGACAAGAAAAATCACAGCCAATACTTTCCTATAATGACAACTTGAAATGAATTAATGTCAGGCAAAGTACACCAGCAGCATGTCTGTATTTAACAATGCAAACAAAGTCATCCTATCAGATATACACTACACAACCTTTATATTATTTACATGACAGCACAAGGGATATCACTATCAAAGGCTGGGACATTGTATTCAGTCTTCTGACCATGTATCAAGTGAATGAGTTGGGTTTTACGCCGCTGTTACCAATATTCCAGCAATAGGCTACCCCATGGCCACCTGGGTAAAAGTGAGGTCTATAGAAATTAACAAAGGAGTTGGTAGCAATTTAACATCAATGTATTTCCAGGATCACACATGAAGGAAAATTGCCCTAAAAGTCTTTGTGGATAACAAAATTACAACAAAAGTTTCTTTAAATCAGGCAAACCCTTATGGCACTTCAGACATAAACAGTACAGACATTAGTTCAATATTACCCTCATTTTCCCTGTCATAGTCAGTGTTCTGCAGACATCTGCTACTCATGAATGTCATGGCATGAATATATATGTACAAATCTGATAAACAATCTGATCCAAAACTGTCTATTTTGGTCACATTCTCTGTCATGTCACCGAAACCTCTTCCTATGGAGGTGTGAGCAGCAGGGACATCCTGTATACAGTCCCCAACCAGCACACGAAGACCCTAGGTTCACCAGGTGCACTGGTCTGGTATAAAGGGATGGCTTTATTGGGTTAAGGTTCATGAACACATGGTATAGTGTCTTGTGACCAATGGTTCCAGAAGAGGTAGAATCATCAGGAACATGTCACCCTGTTCTGATAATTGTCACGTATGTGTTATTCTGTTCATGAAGGCTCTGACAAATTTCAAAACCTGATTGATTGATATATCAAAATTAATAGAATCATGTGTAATAACAAATTGAAAATATTTTGCTTTCAAACAGTTAACTTGATCAGTCACAACTTCAAATTAACCCTGACACATTTAGAACATGTTCAAACAAGATATCTGATTGATGTTCTTTATCAATAAATTAATTAACACTAGATGAATATGATACTCATTAGTAATCACAAATATAATAACACATAATTTTATGTTTTGAGTATTTCCAATCATGATTATATTCCTCTCTTCTGAGCATTATATTTGATATGGAAATATTGTCTGGCATTAAAATCAGTCACACAATAAACTTTATAATATCTCAGTTGTGCAAGAAACAGGCTTCTCCATGAGCGATCATATATATTCATGGTGTACACTGTTCTGCAAGTAGTATCCCACATCACAATACATACAGACACACGTGTCAGTTTTCTACACCTACAAGGGTAGATCTTTGTATTTCTATTTACATATATACATTTATTTTGTTCTAGAAATAATAGCAAGACTTTGTTATCATGAATATAATTAAATAGCATATTAACATTGGTTTTTATTCCTGCATGGCACCTTTGTAAATGCCCCAGCAACAAGCTGTTATCATGGAGAATTCCTATATTCCACAATTGACATGTTTTCCATAATGTAGGTATTGATTGTAAACTGTTTTAAACATATGCACCAATATCTCCCTTGAACAACATGTTTACCCCCCACCCCAATATATACATTCATGTTTAGTGAGAAAGAAGAAATGTTTCAGTTTCTTGTTTCATGGCAGGCGACGTAAAATTCTTTCAATGTAAATTAGCCATTTCAAAAGTCAAAACAGTTAAAAGTCTCTTCAAATTAATTGACAAACAAATTTGATTTCAATGACTATTTCTAAACATCACATGAGCAATTCACACCTATTAGTAACTTAATAAATTGAGCATATTTTGGCACTTTTTCAAACTGATTATCTATTCCATTCTGTTAACATAATTACAAGATACTTTTGTGAACAAGAATGCCAAGTAACATTGCCGCATACACCTCATGCATATATGCTAACACATAATGTGTCCAAGCTCTCTCACAGCCTATCCCTAATAGTTGAATGATGAATACATGAATAACATTGCATATAAAATGGTGGTGGCAGAATCAGGTCCCTAAATACAATTCACGATTTGAAATACAAGATAATTCTTGCATATAAACTCTTTTACAACAGCATAATTGTAGAAAAGATTATTTACAGACATATGAGACATAATGAAGTGTGAATATTTTCTTATGTAGACAGGACAGTGATAAAGAAGAGGTTGTTGTGTTGGGAGATCGACAGACCTGCCAGTGATTTCATAGCTTCTATAGATAACATAGTATAGTAACTCCATCTAGGCTTTCTTGGTTCACATGGTTCATTCTTGCTTGGTCAGTGCCTCAAACAATCGAAACATAATATCTTTCAAATAAAAGTACAATTATTAAATTCAAAATCAGTATTCGAATGCTGTGAAAGTCGGTTAATCCAGAAGCTACCCAATCACATAATCAGGCAATAATAAATTTCTGGGTGAATAATGGGTATGGGGTAGTTACAATAATGGGTATGGGGTAGTTCCAATAATGGGTATGGGGTAGTTCCAATAATGGGTATGGGGTAGTTCCAATAATGTAAACACCATTCAGAACATTTCTGGATGAACTGAATTTCATGAAACTAACTTACTTGAAAGCTGTTTATATATATAAAACATGCAAAAGAAAGTTAATTAAAATATGTTTTGTATAAAAAAATACTTTTTTCAGAAAATCAGTATTGAAATTTTGGGTAAATCATTTAAAATATGAGGACTATTTCACATGTAAACCAAGAAGTATAAAGTGTGGCCTGAACATTCTGTCACACAAGGGTCAGCACCCTTGTAGTGTTGTATACAACCAGCAGTGCGGGACAATGGTTCTTCCTGTTAGTGCTGGTAGCTGTTGGTTGATATATCCCGTATCAGTCAGTACATTGTTTCGATTATGCTATGTGTTCCATAATATATCTTCCAACACACAGCAAGAGTCTGTCATTGTGAGGATCCAAAGCTGGACCCTCAACCACAGGATCCAAAGCTGGTCCATGAACCACAGGATCCAAAGCTGGACCGTGTTGGCTGGTGACTTGTCACAACAAGAACAGGACTTATACAGAAATTGTCACTATATTGCACCCAGTTTCCTGTGACGAGCTTGTGTCCTTGCACATTTCTGCATGTTCCCATCACCTCTCAGTGTTATTTAGGCTTTCCGCCCGTTTGCGTACGTGAGCAAGCATGTCAAGACAGACTGTTGACAAACTCTGGTCGATCAGCTTCTGCGGCAGCCAGCCCTGTAAACAAACAACAGGGTCCATATGATTTTACTGCAAGTAAAACTATTAAACACCAGTATCAATGAACAGTTGCCAATGATGAAATATGATCATATATTTAACAAGGGCAGTTGTGAATATTGATAGCTCAGCACACATTCTCTCATTTCATTGAAGTACTTCTTTTTAATTCAACTGATTTCATTACACACTTGTTGTGCCTAAGAAAACTGTCATCATTTTAACCTAAGCATAAATGAAGTAATAATGTTTCAATTGTAACTACTGAGATCTTAGTTTCAAAGAAAAGGTCTGTTTTGCTCAATAAAATAGGGATTTCATAAAATTGTTTATTGAATGCATAATGGGTTCCATGAAAGAAGAAAGAATTCAATATATTTCTGTGAGTCAAACTTCTAAACCTTTGCAATCTAAGCAAATTTGTTTCAGTTCAAGTACAAATAGACTCCATATCCCGATGCCACACTGCCCCCTTACAACAGGCATGTCCATTCCACCTGTCTAACTGGTCTAACGGGCATTTGGGTGTCTCTTGTACAACAGGCATGTGCTGTCCCCTGTCTAATGGGCATGTGGGTGTCCCTTGTACAACAGGCATGTGCTGTCCCCTGTCTAACGGGCATGTGGGTGTCTTGTACAACAGGCATGTGCTGTCCCCTGTCTAACGGGCATGTGGGTGTCCTCTTGTACAACAGGCATTTGCTGCCCCCCTGTCTAACGGGCATGTGGGTGTCCCTTGTACAACAGGCATGTGCTGCCTCCTGTCTAACGAGCATGTGGGGCATTTTGTGTGCTTGTCCCTTGTACAATGTGGGTGTCCCTTGTACAACAGGCATGTGCTGCCTCCTGTCTAACGGGCATGTGGGTGTCCCTTGTACAACAGGCATGTGCTGCCCCCTGTCTAACGGGCATGTGGGTGTCCCCTGTACAACAGGCATGTGCTGCCTCCTGTCTAACGGGCATGTGGGTGTCTCCTTGTACAACAGGCATGTGCTGTTCTTGCCTCCTCACCTTGAGGTTTGTGTTGAGCAGCCAGACGAAGATACACTGATCAGGCTCCCCTGGGACAGGTTTGAAGCCCCAGCCTCCTGGGCCGTTCTCACCCCTGAAACACACACACACATTTTAAGCCAGCCCCTAAACAATGGGATTAATGAAACACACACAACACTGTTAAAGCTGCCACTAACACAAGAACATGGGATTGATGGCCGCAACAGAATTTCTAAAAATGTCAACATCTATCAACATGGGTGACATGCTGCCACTCAAAGTGAACCACAAAGATGTCATTTGTGTCCTTAAACTACACAACGTCTCATCTATCTCCTGAAACTGCCAGTATCTGGGAGATTCTTCACTCAGTGACTCACTCATTGTCCAGGGACCAAATTTCCAGCAGTGTATGATGAGTGAGTGAATTGGGCTTGACACCAACTTTAACTGTAATTTCAGTTGTATCACTGCATGCCAACTTGATATGAGAGGAAAACATGTTGTTATGCAGATCTCAAAGTTCTGCCCTGTCTAATATATAACTAACTACTATATAAAGCAACAAATAGTCAGGGCTTCCTGTTATGTCTAAGGGGCATATCTGTGCCAAGGAATCCAGGCAAGTATGACTGTGCAAAGCAAATTGCAGCACCTTATCATCCAAACAAACTTACATTCAGGCAACAACACCTTGAGATATAATCATCCCAACACAATCTAATTTCCAAAGATCTTTACACCCCATAATTCCAACAGAGACACGCAAATTTCCAAGCATTTCTTAATGTGTATTGCAAGAACTCACCTGACATATTTCTTTTGTGGTGGCATTTCTGGATGTGTGGTAGCAATGCCTGCTGACATGTAAGTGCCATCCTTGACGCCCCAGTGTCTCACGGTGACGAAGTCCCTGCTGGTGATGAGGCCGCCACCACCCTCAGCAGCGACATTGTAAGAGACATCTGTGTTGTCATTTATGACTTGCAATGTCTGCAAGGAATGGGGAATCTTTAGCTAATGAAGGAGTTTATAATAATATCGGAAGATTGATTGACTTGTGTACACTTACAAATGGTGACATACATGAAAGTGCTGATTTAGCAGAAAACACCCACTTATTTAATCCCTCAAGACCACCCATCACCTACACACATCTGATAGGGAGGGTCATAATGATAACCCCTGGTTTGCCTGGCCCAGGCCCAAACAAACATTCCCTCACTCACTCTTACCATAATCATGTCCCTGGTAGTAGTCAGTGAGTATGGTTTTATGTCACTTTAGGCATTTCAGCAACACACCAGAAATGGGCTTCACACATTGTACCATGTGGGTAATAAAAGCAACTGCTGCCATGCTTCATGACACTCCTGTAATGTAAAGATTAAGCTGGTCCTCGTCTACTCACCCTGCACTCAATCACAGTGGGGTTCCAGTCCGGCTGCTCACTCTGATTGGTCACTATCTCACGAAACAGATCAGCTGGACTCAGCTCCACTAAACCCTGAAAAGCACAAATGTTCCGTTAGCAAAGATATCAGGAGAGTCCAGTAGAACAAGGCATCAGAACAGCCCAGTAGAACAGATAACAGACTAGGTTACCATAGTCTGATAATGGAGAATGTCTTTACACACACACACACAATCCCACATTTTCATTCTTCATAGTACAAAGGGATTTTCCTCCCAAAGTGTTGATAACAGCCCTGAAGTGCTCTTCATATTTTGTGTAACACTCTCCAAGGGTTTTAAGAAAAGTAAGATTCTTTATGGAACATTCTGCGTTCTAAAATGCCAATCAAACAGATCTCCAAGTGTTTGTTTATACTTGTGTAACCTTCATTAAGTGTTGTCCATTTCCTTGTTTGACTCCCAAAGAATGTAAAGGACACCATAAATTATTTGCATCATGACAGTCAAACCAATGTCAACACTACACTATGCCTCATTTGCAGGCTTCAGACACCTGTACTTCCTGACTCCCTACACCCCCATAAGTGGCCAAGCCTCACCTGCAGCCTGAAGACCTTGCCGTGTGTGGGCACAGTCCTGCTGTGAACGCACCCTCCTGTGGGGTCAGTCCCAGCTTCCTTCTTCCATTCTGAGTCGTCACTAGTGATCATGTCCCACATGTTGTTCCACGCACTCAGGCCGATACTCAGGTAGTCTACCTCCTGCAAAGTCAGCACACATTCAAACCTTTTGTCTCAGATTAACTAACCTAACAGTAGTTGTATTGGACAGAAAATACAAATCTCTAAGCTTCAGTGTTTACTAACTTCTTGGCATGCCTTATCTAGTTGACAGTATTTGGGTATTTATTGAACTTTGTCCCTGTTTGTTTGTTTGTTTAACACTGCACTAAGCAATATTGCTGCAATGATGTTTGTAAATAATGGACAAGACAATCATATGATAGACATTATGAGCATTGATGTCAGCAACTTGGATACGCATCAACCAAGTCAGCAAGCCCCACCATTCATTCCTGTTAGTCGCCTCTTACAACAAACATGGTTGCTCTAGATCAAATCTAAGTAGGATCTTCACGGGGACAGTAGAAGTCAGCCTATTGTTTAAGGAAGTAAAAAATCAATGCATGCTGTTATGAACAACAGATGATATCATATTTTATTGTTTTGAACAATATATACTGGACAAAAATAGTTAGGGATATATGTAAATTTTGAAATTATGAATAATGATCTATTTATTCATTGACACACTGATAAAATATCAATCATAAAAATACCAATATCCCTAACTTATTTTGTCCAGTCTATGACAACACAGCATCAAACTAAGGGTATGATATCGTATTTAACATACAATTTAGAGAGCTTGGTGCTTTAAACCAATATATATTGATCTGGATCTGTTCTAAGGACAAGTAGACATCATCCTAATTCATCATTTACTTGCATATTGTCAGCGCCACTTTACTTTAAAAAAACTTACAAAACTTTCAATTATTTCTCAACTTTTATTTTACTGTGAAGCCAAGATTCCCCCCATGTACAGTATAACTGGATGAAGGGTTTGCATCATTGTAGATCAATGTGGATACTAGGGTATATTTTTCCTTAAGGTTTGTAATATTCCGTTTGATTCTCTGATTCAACAGGTGATGATGTCAGGATATAGCTTTCACAGTGTAGCCAACAGGCAAAACTAACATCAGGGCTGACAGACTTGACGTGTGATATGTGGCTTATCACGCGGGCTTCGCTGAGAAACAGGTCTTAAGGGGGAATTTCGTGCTGGAATGTTTAAATCAAATACAACTGCCCTCAGGATATGGTTGTACTACCAGACAAATTGTCATACTGTCTATCAAACTGCATAATTAACAATTTCCTGTATCAGGGTTGCTCATGATGTACTCAATACCCCTGACATTCCTGTCACCTTCACAACTTGTCACCTAGACACAGGCCTACATCACCATGACAACACACCATATAGACTGTCCTACATGAACAAATCCCTCCACAGCCTCAACTCATGAACAGCCCGGTTTTGCTGTACAGTAAACTCTACATAATGAGGTGAGGTGAAATTGGGTTTAACGTCGTGCTTGAGAATATTTCGCTCATATGACGACGTGCATGCATGTGTATGTGTAGGTGCGACTGCTTGTACTAGCTCAGACTGAAGCTGGTTTTATAGTGCTAGCTCACTGAGATACCATGCCGCAGTGAAGTATGAATACCCCACTCAGACACATTATACTGACTCCGAGCCGACCAGTCCTTGATGTACCCATTAATGCCGAGCGCCAGGCAGGGACCAACAAGTACCATATTTTAACGTCTTTTGGTATGACGCGGCCGGGGATCGAACCCGCGACCTTCCACTCTCCGGGCGGACGCTCTAACCACTACACCATGGTGGCGGTCCTCTACATAATGACCCTTACTGAACAAAACTATAATCATTGCAAAGACTGGTTACTGTATTAAAGACTTCATAATCCTATAATGATACATAGACATCTTCCGATGTTTAAAAATACTTATTCTTCAAGTTTGTTGTTGACAAACTCTACGTCTCAACATTTGCTAAGGACATAAATAGCGTTCTCAAAATTACGGTCATAAGCAAATGGTAAATAGTATAATTTGCTTTTTGTTGTATTCATAATTAACAATCATTTGCTTTTATGCATTATTCAATGTTCCATTACAGGTCTTCGGAACAAATATTAGACCATCTAACATTCGCCAGTAATTTTGTGTGTCATATTTAAGCTGAAGTTCCTGAAGGTACTTAAAAGTTGGACACACATGAATACATGACACGGTTTTATGGATAACAACGTCTTTTTATTCTTTATACAACGTTTCAGAGCTAATTCTTGCTCGTTCAGGTGAATGAAGGAGCAAGAATTAGCTCTGAAATGTCGTATATTACGTGTCATGCAGTTTCAAATTTTAAACAGGTTGCCAATGGCACTATATAAGTATGTGAAGAGAAAAAGGAAGTCATTTGTTGGTTAATACAGGACGATACCTCCCAATACCCAAACACTAACATAGTGCCAGGGCTACTCTCCAAATCTTCTCACATATAATTCAATTCCTACAAACAGTCCTACTATTTGTAACATTGCCCTACCTGTTTGTTGCTCTGTCCTGTGGCGGGGACGCTGTAGAACCGGTCACGGGCCTGCTTGTCAGTTTCTTCATCAGACCCTGTAATGAAACAACACCATTGATGACAAGCTCACTATATCCATCCAAGGGTTCAACATCAGGGCCAGTACATGTCTTACAACTTCTCTCTCTATAATACAGGTGAAAGTAGGAGTGACAGTAGTGAGTAAGTTATAGTTGAGTTTATAGCTGCTTTCAACAGTATTTCAATTATATCAGAGCAAGGTGCCCAAGGGACACAACTGTGCACAGCACCTCAGACCCTGGACCATCCATGCTGCTGTCAATCTCCAATGTTTACACTGATTGAACTCATGAGCAGGGTTGTCAAACAAACCCAACCGCATGATCAGGGTGAAGCTTGACTCATAGTGAGTGAGTGAGTGGGTGAGTATGGTTTTACGCCACTTTTGGCAATATTCCTGCAATATCACGGTGGGGGACACCAGAAATTGGCCTCACACACTCTACCCATGTGGGTTATCAAACCCAGGTCTTCGACATGATGACCTACCCCACTGCCCCATGACTCAAAGTGAAAGTCCTGCCAAACATCTACATCAAAAACATTGGTGTACTTTGGTGTTTTAAGAGAGACTGGTTCTATGCAACTTTAAGCACATTCTAGTGTTGTCACAGGTGAACAAAATCATGTGAGGGTTTGAACCATGGCCATTTCATATTCTTTGTCTTTTTCAATCATAAATAAACTGAAGCATTATTCTGATCTATGATATGGCACTGACTGTTACTTCTGATAGTTTGTTTATCTGTGCAACACCAGGTGCCTTATCAGGAAAACAATCCCTCCTCTGGCCACCAGTGGCAACAACATAAAGTCTGATCTTGACACAGCGTTTCACCAGGAAGGAAATCCATATTTAATACGTTCAGAATTACATTCCTGAGTCTGGTGGATTTTTGGGAGGTACTAGGGCACACTTTGATCAGTGTTGGTCTAAACTATGGTTGACAGTAGTCGTTGGGCTAGCATTTCCATGTTAAGTTAGTGAGTTCGGTTTTACACCGAGTTTAGCAATAATCCAACAATATCCTAGCGGGATCTTTAGATATGCGGACACATCGTACTCATGTGGGGAATCTAACCCGTCTCTAGGATACCCCGACACCTTTATAGGGCCTGGCACTGACAGTACAATAGTCTGTGACTTTAGCCACTGATCCCAAGCTAGATTCTACTGATTTCTGTTCAGTTCTAATCAGCACAGCTACTAATGTTGAGATAACAACACTAAACTATATTGAAAAGACGCTAGGAGCCAAGTACAGGGTAGTGAGTTTTTGGCACCAACTGCAACAGGAAATGAAAGACTGGAAGTGGATCACTAGGGAAACATGACACCTGTGAACAACTTCCTGCTAACACTGTGGATTGTGAAGTTGGAGAGTGTTCAAAACAAATGCTGATAGGTATAGTGTGTCTGATTATGGTCACAACAAGAAGTCCATGAGACAAGTGAAATCATCTCAAATGCTAACTCAGTCAATGATGCTGTTTAAGCCATTATGTTGATGTCTTGTTGCAGGTGATCCTGAGACTTCAGTAACTATTTTGAAGATGTACTGTAAACAAATAGAATTAATCCACAACTTGGTTTAGGTCACAGAAATCACTTGAATCTGTTTATTCCAGTTCCAGAATTAACAGATTCAACCCATTTCTTTATTACAGAGCAAAGAAAGTAGACCACATCAATTATTAATTCCAAAGCTAGTAAGTCTACCAGATATAAGAGCATCCCATTCAATATACTGTTTTGGTTCAAGCTCTAAACGAAAAGAAATTTTTGAGGAACATATGCATGAAATTGTCTTCAGACACAAACCCCACCACCACCACCCACCCCACCCCTCTCCCCCATATTCATGACTATTTCTTCTGTCCTGTATATTTAAGTGCGATACATTAGATCGTCCAAGTGTTGACAACACAGCAGTGGAACTAATTGCTATTGACAAGGCATTTTCCCATAGAGTAAAGTGTTATCAAGCATACAAATCTCTTTCCTGTGTTGCACAAGACCACCTGCACCATGCTAGATGATAGGGTAATAATAACATCCCTTGCAGCTGCAGCGTTATCCAGCGTATCACACCCTTGGGGTAGGGAGCTAAATCTATGTATCATGTATATGAGCCTTTCATCCATTATTCACATCTCCAACTATTATTATGACACTGACTCTGTGAAACAATAAATATCACATACAGTGATTGCTGTATACATGTATAGTAATTGTAATTAACTGAGTGGGTGACTGATTACTGCTGGTTAATACACCAGCAATCAGCAATCCACAAGCCTTTTAAGTGTCACTCAGTATCAGTCATGTTGAATGTCTAGCACCAAACAGAAAACAATTTCTCTTTTGGCTTCACAAAATTCATTAAACCCCTCACATATACTGAATTAAAAGACAGAGATCATGAATACTTCAGTGGACATTTTTAACATAATTGTGTTCACAGTCTTCACAACAAAAACATAACCTCCCAAAATAATTACAATCCCTAACTTTTTTATTGTCTGGTATAGTAAAAGCATTTTCCAATGGATAAGAAATGCAGTGATTTCATTGAGGTCTGCCATAGACATACAGGACCCCACATGTGCTTCCAAGTATTGACTAGCAGATCAGCACGGAGGCCACGAAGTAATCACTGCTGAGGTGTTTGTTCCCGTGACTGACTGATTCTAATAAATATCTTATAACAAAGCAAGGTTTGATACAGCAAGGGCTTGGCTTCCCCCACAACACTGTCCTTTCAGAGAAACATAGAGCTCTGTGAGAGACTAGTCAGTGTATTGATACTGGGTGGGACAGTTGGAGCATAAAGAGATGGTTGGATGTGACGTAGTAATGCAACACTGGAACACTGGGAGCATGACGTAGTGTACAGTGTACAGTCACTGGTATACTTGGAGCATGACGTAGTGTACAGTGTATAGTCACTGGTATACTTGGAGTGTGACGCATCTGCAGTGAGCAGCACTGTCAACATTATTACCGGTAATGCCTATTGACACTGATAACACTTGGTGACTGACAGCGATACTGAAGACACATACTAGATGCTATCACTACAGGATAGTTTGGATGGATAGATATGTTAAATTTAAGTATTCCTACACCCCTAACACATAAAAATACAGACGTTTGAAATTGTATTAATATCTGAAGATATCTCATAGATAAATGTACTGAATCTAGAGTTGAATGTTAACTCTTATTGCTGTGTTTTGCTGTGCAATCTAACACTTTGATTACAACTGATAACATCATGGTTTCTTGCCCAGATCAGGAAGTTTTCAATCGAAAAGGGTCAGGGTGATATACAATCCAGTGAGTGAAAGATTTTTTAACAAGACAGGAACGCAATCCGCCCATAACGTACAACTGCCGCGACAGATGGAGGGGGATACATGTGGTGTGCTGGTCGTGGGGACACACCCACTTACTATACAGCTTATTTCGTGACAAGTCTTCATGTGCATACAACACACAATGCACAGTTTAGATCGTGGAGTGTTGAGGCACCTTGTAGCAAATAGATGTGGACTAAACAAACAACTTGACACTCACAATGATTTATATGTGAAAGGTGTAAACTATTCTGATAGTTACATATATCTAGGTATATCAAACTATCTTGGTTGGTAGTTTAAGTATCTACCTGTATAAAACTATGTTGGCTGGTAATATAAGTATCCTGTATAAAACTATGTTGGTTGGTAATATAAGTATCTACCTGTATAAAACTATGTTGGTTGGTAATATAAGCATCTACCTGTATAAAACTATGTTGGCTGGTAATATAAGTATCTACCTGTATAAAACTATGTTGGTTGGTAATACATATATAAGTATCTACCTGTATAAAACTATGTTGGTTGGTAATATAAGCATCTACCTGTATAAAACTATGTTGGCTGGTAATATAAGTATCTACCTGTATAAAGCTATGTTGGCTGGTAATATAAGTATCTACCTGTATAAAGCTATGTTGGCTGGTAATATAAGTATCTACCTGTATAAAACTATGTTGGTTGGTAATATAAGTATCTACCTGTATAAAACTATGTTGGTTGGTAATATAAGTATCTACCTGTATAAAACTATGTTGGTTGGTAATATAAGTATCTACCTGTATAAAGCTATGTTGGCTGGTAATATAAGTATCTACCTGTATAAAGCTATGTTGGCTGGTAGCATTATTATCTAATTGTACAAAACAATGTTGGTAGGAAATATATGTATCTTAGTGTAATAAACTATGTTGTTCAGTAGTATATATAACTGTATAAAACTATGTTGGTAAGGAATATGTATATAGAGCTGTATAAATCTATCAGATCAATATAGCTGTTGTGTGTCAACAGTGATTAAATGACTGTAAATACAACAAACTCAAACCTGTAATTGTTGTGTTTACCGTACCCTATGGTATGGACATGTGCTCTCACTATCAACCACTGGTATGTGTTGCATGCCGTTCATCACTAACTACTTACTAAATTCCTTTCATACATCCACCCACACACAACACTGTTTCATCAGAACACAGGTAACAAACTTACTCCTAAATTGCAAGACAGTCAAAATCATTTTTAGAACATTTGACGTCAAATCAAGCTCGCATCCCACATACCATACTGTTGAACTAAGCTGATCCTAGCTGAGAGCTATCAGGATCAGTTTTCTGCAGGATTTATCACCTTCGTGATGGGAAGGTTGACGTAACAAAGACAGCTGATGTGGAGGAGTGACGGGAAGGGCAGCTTACTGGGGTGACCAAGTCCATCACTGCACCTGACAGCTGGAGAGCCTGTGTCTGGCAGCTAGCCTATACATCAGTTCTACTCTCACAGACTTACTCCTCTTTTCTTGATCAGACACTCATTTTTGCAATGGTAAGGATACAAAGAGAATTGTGATGACAATGATAGCTACAGTTGTCAAAACTGATTAAGGAACGGGTTTCAATCTTTCATTCGGATATTTGTAAATATACCAGAG